AAAAGGTCACTTCTTAAATATCTAGGACACCTTACTTTGCGTGTGTAGGTATGTACTCGTATTCCCTGCATTGTGGGAGCCAAACTGTGTGTGCAGTCACATTCTGGAGACCCAGTTCTCCTTTATGGGGACGTGAATTTGGTCTTGAGCATTCAAAATATTTAGGGTTACAACTAGGGCTGTTCGATATAACGATATATATCGGATGACGATATAAAAACTCTATCGTTTCATTTTAGCATTATCGTTTGTTTCGTGGTGTCGCAAAATAACTGTTTACGGCAATATTTTTTCACCGTTTTGATGGTCACTGTAGTGGCTATATTAATTTCTTAAAGTTCTCTCTTTCTCTTATATTTAATATAACCACACTACGGATGGATAAGAGCCTGTTTTTACGCGTTGTCGTTGGGTCCAGTGTTTAATTAGGCCAACATTTGAAGACTTAATTCGATGTCATCTATCAGCGTACGGCATTTAATTGTCATGTATTTTGTTTGGTGTATGACTGTAATAAAAACGCTGAGATTTATTGCTCATAGCGGCCTTCCCGAGTTGTGTTTCATCTTTTCACAGTAGCTGTACACATCCCCATTAAAGCAGCCCCTCACCTGATAAATATCAGGGCTCGGGATTTAAGAGATGTCTTCTTAAGTGACCGAAAAACGAGGTGGGCTTGTTTGCACAGCTGCAATAAGATTTCCTCTTGGCACGTAGCGTTTCTGTGGCAGGCAGAGCAGTGTGTACATCTAAAAACAACAATAACAAGAGAAGGAAACATGAGGTTGTGAGTGTGTTTATAGGAATAATTTCCATTCCACTACATTTCTATATCCATTATATACCCAGGCACCAGCTCTGAATCCAAAGAGCTCTATTCTTTGCTCATATTGCAGGTTCGGGCCAAGAGGGGATTTTTTTTTTTCTTCTTTTTTCAACCACTTTTCGATGCTCACAGTGTTGCGTTGAATTCATAAGCGCTATTTGAGTCACCTCAACTCATCCTATACCAACCAGCCTCCCTGTAATAACCACCTGCCTGATATTGCCTGAGTCCTCTGGGGGTGGATCCCTCGTGAATGCCAGGACCTAAGCTCTCCGAGTGCATGACTGAATTGTAATGAGAGTTTAGTCGCTTCACCTGTGTGTTGCTGGGCGGTGTAGGTTTTCCATGCACTGCTGGTGTTCTGTGTGTGTGAGATGTTGTTTATGCTCTCACTGCAGCACTCAAAGCAGCTCCTTCTTCACCTCACACCTGCATATCTTTACTTTTTTTCCTGTGCAGCTCGTTCTTGCCTCAACTTGCTTCTGCAGTAAATGGTATGAGTGTGTGTTTGCTGACACTGTTCTCTCACTGATTGGTGCACTTAAGTATCGTCTTCTCTGGATGTTGTTTTTTCTTAGCTGTGCTTCAATCAGCCTGCCTCACCTGCACATTACTTTGAAGTCCAAATAGCGATCGAGTGGATGTGTGTGCCTTGTGCTGCGTTTTCACGGCAAAGGTCGGCTTCAGCCGTGTCATTATTTTTGGCATCGGCGTCCTGACTGACCTTGCTGTTAAATGGGGCTTCTGTGTGTTTTTTAGCGCGTTCTCCTTGATTTTTTGCGCCTTGGCATATCACTTTATGCTTCACAGAGTGTAAATCGTCTCGCGGCTTAAATCAAGTAACGCTTTGCTGTGTGTACGTGCGTGTGTATGTGTCCTAGCAGGGTATTCTTGCTTTAGGCTAAGTGTCAGCTCATGTCAGGAGGGTGACTTGCTTTTTGCAGAAGCGCAGCAAAGAAAGGCTAGAGAGGGAAGGGAAAGGGGGGTCGGGCGGCTTCAGCAGCAGAAGAAGACAAGCCAACATCTTACTCTGGAGCTTGTCTTAGAGCGTTGAAACCTTTTAGCACCTTGTAGCATTGTTTGCACAGGTAAAGCTGTAGCTCCTGTGAATATGCAAAACAGAACAGTTATAAGCTCCAAACTCCTGGACTGCAGCCGCTGACAACAATCCCTGTCAACAAGTGAGGTCAGAGCCTGCACCTCCACATTTAGCAGGTCCTGAATAGGAGAGCCTGACTGATATGATAACATTATGGTGATTTTAAAAATCTTTAAGTCTGACGTGATCTTTTCCTGACCAATAATTGAGTCGTTTTTTGTAAACTCAAAGAAAGTGAACAGTTGAAAGTGAAAACCTTCAGGCGAAAGACGTGTTAGACGAGACATCTGGGCTGCTGATCAAGATTTGGGTGTATTTGCCTCCCAGTGCTGACTTTGAGTCATTTTAACTGTAGTTCTGGTTATTCTGACCTGGGTCACATAAAAAAATGACTCTAACAGCTATTAATGATCGAAAAAGCAGCAGTTACATTTTGTGGACCGATCAAAGAGCTGAACTGTTTGGGCTCTAGTTCTTTATGGCACCTCCAAGGTTAGCTGTTATAAACTCTGGAACATCCAAGTATGGCAGTCAGTGATCTGTTAGTAGCACATCAAAGCTGATTTTTGCCCTGAATAATGAAGCAGCGGCAAAATGGCCATTCAGCCTGAATGTCGGGTTAGGGAGACAGCAGAGAGAGTCTGCGAGTGTCGTGCACGGATCATAAACCAGGACAGATGGAGGGTGACGATGAGAAGTTGATGAGAATGACAGGAGGAGTGCCCCGTTGCGAGGAGTCAAGGGGGAAGAAGCGTGAAGCCGCAGGTGAAGATGAGAGCAGGCAAAAGAAGGATTAGACTGTGAAGGAGAAAAAAATGAGCTCGAGTGGATGAAGGTGAGACACAAAGGAAAAAAGAGAAGGAGGAGGAGGTGTGGAGGTGGAAATAGAGTGGGAGGGTGGTGGGCTGGCTTTATCAGAATGGAAGAACATCAAAGCCGGGTGAATGGGTGAATGGGAAAGGAGCAGCTGGGGCAAAAGGAGGAGATACGGCAAAGAGACGTGAGCTGATTGAGGTATTAGATCCTCCACATGGCTCCCCCTTTTTCCTCCTCTCACTTTATTTTCCTCTCTTTTTTTATCTAATCTTTTCTCTCCCTCCTGTTTCCTCATCATCAGTCTTTGCTTTATCCTTCTCCCACCACAGGCACATTCCTCACTATTAAAGCTAGTCGGTATCTAAATCTCAGCTCTTCTGTCGGAGGCATCATCCTAGTCTTGTCTATAACTCATCCAGCTTTCTTCTTTGTCCTCTTGGGGCCACCGTTGCAGCTCTGCCCCACAGTCACAGCTTCCTTTCCCCAACACCTGTGATGGCCACAGAGTACATTTCCACCTCTGCCGCTGTTGTTTCTGGAGCAGTCAACACTCACGGTGCCATTATTGATCTCTGGCACCTGCTGTCATAGATTTAGCACAGACATCACTGCCGTGAGGCCTGCCGTGTCACGCGGCTGCTGTTTTTTAAGCTTTTGTAAATGAATACACATGCCCTGGGCCACTTTTTTAAACAGTGTCAGTCTGCTCTGTCAGGTAGAGATGGGGGAATAAAAAAAAAAAAAAAAAAGGCACAAAGCTCACAAGAGTCTCGGCCGTTTGGTTTTTGTCACTCGTCAGTGCCACCAATGAAATTCTAGGAATGCCTTAAAGTACAACTTGTACTAATATGGCTCTCACGAGGAGTAATTTAACTAGTTTACATGCACACATGTAGGAGTTGTTGCAAAGCAAACCATTCACAGTACGTAGGCTGTTGGTGTGGTGCCCTCCAACACTTGTAGCGGCGGTTTTTCCGAAAGCTCGCCTTGCACTAGCGGCACTAAAGAAAATGGGCTGAAGTGCCTCTTGTTTACAATTAGAACAAAGATGTCGACACAAATGCAGTTTTTCTCCGCTGAAAACACGTAAACTAACCTTGATTTTAGAGGGTTTTTTTTGTTGAATGTTCACATTTAATAGCCTGAATAGGCATTCAGTCCGCACAGACTTGAAGGAGAAGGTTTAAATCAAACGATCGGCGTGTTTTCAGCTTCGGTTCTCAGCTCAGTTTTGCATGTTATCAACTCAGGGTCAGACCAAGGTCTATTGATGATATGGCAGTGCTTCTATATTGTGTATCTGCAGAATGTGTAACGTACGTTGTAAACAACAGCCTCTGAGACCTCAGATTAATCAGTCAGATCAATCCAATCCAATTTACAGCTAGTTAAATATAGAAACATGTGGTAAATACTAAAACTAAGCCTTTTCTTTCTGGATTAATGTTCATATTTTCCAGTGAATTTCTGAATATAAAAAATCTCAGTAATTCACTTCACTGCTAAATGTGTGAATGGGTTTTTCCTGCACAACAGTAGCACAACTAGGCGAGTAATTTCTATTTCCCAAAAGCACCTGAAATTTTCATAGTGATTATGAGTTTTTAAAGTGGAAAGTACTGATCATTTTGTTGGTGTTTTATTGGTGAAGAGTAATAATGAGTGCTGTTTGGAAGTTCCTGCTTTAGTGAGGTTTGCCCTTTCACTTCAACGTCTTTTGTAACTGCTGATAAAGAGGACAAAGACATTACACATGAATGCTTTTTTTCCCCGAGGTTCATTAAGGACGCAATTTAGGCTCACAGTTGACGCAAAGACCCTCTAAAAACAAGAACTGAAACTTACCAAGACCCTGAATGGAGAGAGAGCCGCAGCTTTAATTTCAGTGGTCACTGGGACGTGTATAAAACCACCATCTGTGGGTGTTGAAGTTCTAGTACATGTTTGAAGTCGACGTCAATACCCTGGAAAATACTCGATTCCCTTTTTCATTTCAGAACAATACAAACACCACCATTAATCCAGTCAGCCAGGTTACTATAGTAACGCTTATCATGAGATTTATGGTAACTTGTTTTAATACTTCACTGTTCTTGAAAAGGGAGCTTTACCTCTGGAAATTCCTCAGTGTTGATCAGCGTCGTCTGTTCAGCTGCTAGTGAGGGGAGGGGCTGTGTGTCATGCGGAGGAGGTGAAGACGGCTGTAAAGAAGTGTGTGACTGTGGCACTTTGAATGTCATAGTGATATATATATATATATATATATAGTTATATATATTTATACTTTTGCTTTATTTGTTTAATTTGACAACCTGCTACGTCTGTGTCTGAAGTACGACATCTTATAGGGGTGAGTCTCGAGTGTGTGCATTGAACATTGTGCAAATGCTAAGCTAATTCTGGTTATGGTTACAATAAGCTTAGCCCCCCCCAAATAAATATACCTGCCAATACAGATATATTTTTGGGTACATAGTTTAACTTGTTGTGAACTTCATCTGTGCCCTTGCGTCAGTCTCTGGTTGGCTGTGCCGTGGCTCTCTCTTTGGAAAATTTACATTTTCAGTAATGATTGTTGTTGGATTTATGTGGCCTTGTTTTTTGTTTTTGTTTTTATGAACACACATGCACACACACACGAATCCCACAACACCTCTTGAAGGCGCCGTAAGATTTGTGTCGTCATTGTTTGTAGCGTTCTGCCAGTTTCACTAGCTGCTATTTGTCACCATTGCTGAGAAAACCCCTCATACATTTCCACAAGCCATGTGTTTAAAAAGTCACAAAACGTGTTGTAACTGTACTGTTGTTGATGATGATGACTTTTTTGTTGTTGTTTTTTAAGCAGGAGTGATTGGCTGTGTGTTTTGTTGCTTGTTTTTTTATGAGTGTGTTTTGGTTCAGTCCAGATGCAGAGCATTATGTTAGTGTGCAGATGGCAACGCTGGACCCCGGGACATACACATGCTCATGTTTATTCAGCTCTATGAGTGACCTGCTCTTTTCCTTACCTCCTCACAACACAGCACCGTAACCATAATCCGTGACAACACGTTCACCTTCACTTTCTCCCACGGGTTCGCCTGCTCTACTTCTTTCCTTTTTTTTTTTTTTAAATCTGCATTTTGTTTCAACTTGATCACCCAAAATTATTCTGCTTTGAGGAAGTTTCATTCTCTTCCATCAACTTCTCTGAACACTGGTGGCCTAACCAAACCTTTGTGGTGATTGTTGTTGTTTGCCCCCACCTGGGCTGCCAACACTCTTCACAGTGAACTCCTTCCAAAACGAGGCAGCAGCCACCCACGTTTGGAATATGCGTACTAGATGGCCTAGTATAAAACATCAAAAACGAAAGGTCCGCCCACCTACATGCAGTCACACACTCAAATAACTCCCCTGCTGTGGGTAAAAACACACACTCTAGAGCCATGACGGGATTTTGATGAGCACTCTGGCCCACACACACACACACACACACACACACACACACACACACACACACACACACACACACACACACACACACACACACACACACACACACTGTATATATACATTTTACTGTTGAGGAGGAATAATTTGTATTCTGCTTTCAGAATAAATATGAGTCAGAGCAACAGAAAACTCACCGAGGGGCACACATAGCTGCTCATGCATGTAATGCATACAGTATTACCCATGCGGTGTGCACACACACACGCGCGCACACACATCATAACCGTGTTATGTACTACCTGTAACCTACTTATGCCAGTGCGCACTCACCCACTCTATTTCTCTGCTTCTCCCACACAGTCAGACTGACACATACATTTACCACATGCATGCACACACACACACGTGCTGCAAGACTAATGTGCTTACTCATCAATGCAAACGCACATGCATGCGTAGGAGATCAGGGCACCGTAAGTAGACACAGGCAGGTTTGAGAGGAGAGCAGGAGAGGGTGTGTGCGTGCGGGAGATAACCAGCATGTAGAGCTGCTTAGAGGGTGGAGATAGCTGATTGTCAGAGGCTCACAAAGCACATCAGAAAAGATTTCTTTTCTTCCACTTGTTGGATTGAAACGTGTGCAGATGGCGATTTTTCCATCTGATGTCGCACTTTGAGATTACTTTAATGGGTATGATTTAATGTAATGGGTATGATGCTGGTGTAGGCGTAGCAGTCTCCATCAGAGTCATCTCCTGAGTTGAAGCATATGGATACTGTTGCATCAAAGTGTGGTGAATGCTTGGGGCGAGGAAAAACAATCACTGATGCTCTACAGGGTGGAGCAGGGCGTTAGAGCTGCCGCCTCAGAGCAGGAGGGCTTCTGTTTGAACTCTGCTAGCTGGTTGGGGGTCTTCCTGTGTGGAGTTAGCATGTTCTCCGTGTCCTCCACAGTCCAAAGACATGCATGTTTGATTAACTATTGAAGTATGTCTGTGAACATTAAGGGTTGTCTGTCTCTCAGTGTTAGCCTTGCATTGGACTGATGAGCTGTCTGGGGTGTGTCCTCCATCTTGCCCAGAGACAGCTGGGATGGGCTTCTGAGTGGCTGGAGTGGTGGGGCTTAATAGGCTGTTAAGAAAATGGATGGAATGTGTTGCATGACTTCCACTTGCAGCACCGTTATTGATAATAGTTACAGTTACATAGTTATTGATGGTGGAGCAAGGTGAGCAAGCATAGGCTCACATGGGAGGACACAGTAGATCATACTGATGTGCACAGATATCACAGTGAGGTCAATAAACACACTATTCTTCTGTTTTATCCTACCTTTTTAAGACCGTTGCTTTTGTCACACGTTGACTTGTAGGTTATGGTCATGACTGGTATTCAGCGTCGCAGACCCACTGTACTGTTTAATTAAATGCCAAGTATGGTTATAGTGTCACACATGAGTTACTGTGAATCCCACCAGGAGCTCTGAAACGTTTTGAGGCCAAGATGGAAAACTTGCCAAGGGAATGTGTTATAATCCAAACATGAGTTTAACAAGCGCTTAATGGTTATGTTACGCTCGTCACAGACGTCATTGCATCAGATGCATTTGAGCTCATGTCACAATCACTTAAGAAGTTCTATTGGCACAAAGCGTGGGACTAATGGGGACAGTATACTAAACATTTTATTTATAGCTAATTATTTTGGGGGTTTGTCTAAACAGTGTTCTCCTTCTGCAGCGATTGCTGTTATAGAAGCAGATTTTAATGCCAGTATTTAAACATCAGCAGTTTTTCCTGACGTTTTTTATGGGTTGTTTTTTATTAACTCTGCCCGACTGTTCTCAGATCAGCTTGTTGTTGTCTGTCTATTGTAAGAGGCAAGTTGGATTTTGCCCATTGGTGGACAAGCTTTGCAACATGAACAGTCATATTGTGGTTGAAGGGTGCTTCTCTCATCTCTTTACTTTCATTTTCATTCATTGGCCATCTTAAATGCTGATGAATGTGCAGATAGATGATAATATTGGGATGCTGATAAATCGGTTCTAAAAAGTGACGGTAAAACTTTAAACAGGATTCCCCTAACGTGATGGCTGTGAATGCTACAGTGTTGACTTCTTCTGTAAACACTTTACTGAAGAGCTTTTGGTGGTTTGGGCAAAACTTTAAGTATATTTTGCAAATTCTGGTCGTTTTAAGTGTCTTGACAGGAGATGTATGGAGGATATGCTCACTGGCCTGTGAGTGTGCGGTTTCACGCTCAGATCTGCTCTTTGCTCATTTTCATATTGGTATTTGAGTCCCATTAAGGGGCTGATTACTGGTAAATAACAAGTTAGCCAATAAAGCCTTTTCATTACTTTAAGCCTTCATCAGTTCTCCCCTGATCAACAAGCTGTGTAATGGATACTCTGTTACTAAATGACCCCAAACCAAGTTTTACATTCATGCACATTTACTGTTAGCCATGATGTACAACACAGCATCCTTGCAACTGCAGCTACATCTTATTAATAGCTTCTCCTAGCATAGATGGAGGATGTGATTTGTCGTTCTTGTCAATTAAGGCGGTGAGATAAGCGTTTTACGTCACTGTGCTCGGGTATTACGCTGCTCAAGCTTTTGTTGTCATCTTGTGGTAATGATCTATTTCCTCTTGTGAAGAACTTTGAGCTCAGTAATTGGGGCAACAGCGGTGTGCAACAACAACAAACAAAAAGAAAAAACCAGAGCGTAACCACCGCAGACACAGCGGACGTGCAGATGCATGATGTGATGTGCTTGTTAGACCACTAAACCATGAGGACGCCCCAGTTATTCTGCTGCTGCTGCTGTAAACAGCACAGAGGTCCCACTGCCCAGGACATTCATCCTGTTAATTAATGAGGGTATTTGGCACAATCAATTTAGCTTTGTAGCTCATAAACCAAAAGACCGTCAGCACAGCAACCAGGCAAGAATCGAAACCAAAATAGACACGACCGAGAGAGCCAGGACGTGTGGAGTGTGGGCCGGACTGGAACGTGACCAAACGACTGAAAATCCGATGTTGGTATCAACTGTGGAGGGGAAAAACAAACCCATTAAAAACAAGAGGAGAGGAAGGAGAAGCTGCGTGATGGGATGGAAGGAAACAGAGGCGCTATCTGATGAGACAGATGGAGAGGATGGAGAATCGCCGATTGCCAGAGGAGAAATGGAAAAAGCCTCGGATGGAGAGTGGGAAGTGGGCAGGAGATGAGAGGCAGAAGGAGAGAGAGAGTCCTGCTTTTTGTTGGCGAACAGTGTTGGACAGCTTGAAGGAGATAAGAGAAAAGAGGGGGAAATGAGGAGTATGCAGAGGAGTGCACGCTTGCAGGAGGTCCTAATGCATTACGCCAGTGTGACTGTGACCCAGCTGTCAAGAGCCTGCCATCCTTTGATGGAAGGGACACACCTTCAGAATGGATTGATTAGGTTTACACTGAAACCCACCTAAACACTCAATTTAAGGCAATTATTGATAGAAGCAGTTTCTGCCTGTTTCTCTCATGCAAACTCATGCATGCACACACATGGAAAAGGGAAATGCCACAGAGGAGGAACAGATTGACGGCTTCATTTTGCATCTAATATTCCTGAACAGAATATTCAGGTTTTTAAAAAAGGAGGGAAAAAAGTCTCTTTAATCGCCAAGCTGATCCTCAGTAGCTGCTCTGCACTCGCGTGTCTCACAGCACATTTAATTATAGCCCCTTACTTAAAAAGCACTTCTCCCAGATTGTCGCAAAAGCTCCTGAAACTAAAACAACAAAAGCAGACGTGGACGGAAAGATTAGGACGACAAGAGGCCGCCGTCTCTCCCAGAGCCCATTAGCTGATGAAAAGTAGCTTAGTATTACTGTTTTTATTTATTGAAAACAGTAATACTTGTGTGCCAAGGTGAGGTTCGGCTCTATTAATGTTGAACCTTTTTTGGTAATTTATAAAGCTTTTATAGCGCATTGAGAGTCGCTGTTAAATAAAAGCTAATTTTGAGATGGACGGATCGTATTTATTTTCAGCGGGATGTTATTTCTGTGACTTCTTCTCTTTATTTTTGCCATGTTGCTCACTCTCATTCCTCCATCAGCCCCTTGCAAGACAAAACACACTCTGAACTTAAGTGTTCACAGGGGAACGAATGAGCCACAGACTGAAGTTGGAATTCAAGAACTATTTAAAGCTATTGCGTTATTTTTTTTTTAGTCTTATTTTTCTATAAAATTGTCTACATATGTATAGTCCGGCTGCTTTCTTATTCACAAAAGGTTGACACAAAGGGTTGTGGGAGCTCCACGTGTTTGAAAACATTTTTATTACTCTGGATGCCCTTCCCGGTGCAATCCCAAAGGGACTTATGTCTACTTCTGGGATTGAACCTGGAAGATTAGGCGACTGTACTTTAGAGCCCTCTGCATGTCTGTGTCAACTACATCAAAACAAGCCATCTGATTTCCATCGTCTGGTCATTGATGGCTTTTCTTTGCATATAGAGCAGATTTGCATATAGAGCAGGGGGATGGGATCTGTGTCAATGCCAGGTGTGAACCTGGCCTAGATATTACAAATCTAACCTAATGAGTTCAGTAGCCCTCAAAGGTGTGATGCATCAGTGGGCTGGTTCAGAAGAAGTATCGGCCACATTAACGCCTGTGAATTTAACACTTGACCCTGATTAAAGACACTTGGTCCTTCTAAAATGCCAGATGTGTTAGCGGGACATGGAGGACTGCATTTTTCTGCTTTCCTCTTTTGATTGGCTCATTTTTGTTGGATGTTTAAGCCTGATCACAATAAGAAGTTTTAATAGAGATGTCAAGAATCTGCTTCAAGGTCAAACTATTTTGTGTGATTGATGTCCTACATACATTACTGCTAACATAAAATCTGATTTCATTTGGAGATTAAAGATTTTGTAGACATTAAATATATCCATGTTTGAATGTGATCTGTTGACTCACTGATGGGCAGTGATGTCAGAGGTTGAACAGTCAGAGGGATGGGGGAACTGTTGGAAATCAAGACGATGATTATCTTGTTTTTAATGCTTTAAGTCAGTATTATGATAAGACCTATGAGAGCGCGCGCCTGTGTGTTCAGTTTGGGCCATGCAGCCTGTATTCTGCAGGGAGGATGTTAACAGGCGCCTAACCTTTGACCTGTCTGTTGTTGTGTCTTGATGCATGCTTAATAATCCAGGAAAGGAAATCCCAAAAAGCTGATTCAGTTCATCTGAACATGCAGCGTTTTCACATGAACTGAATCTGTTATTGGTGGGAAACCACCAGATGTTAGGACAACAGAAAAGCTCACCGACCTCTAATCTAGTGCCATCTTCATTCGATCAATACGCACTGTATTCAAAGCACTGAATTAGTGCCACGCTCTCCTGCTGCTCATTTCCTTAAAAAATATAAAACATTTTCCCTTCTCTCTCTATTTTTTTCTGTCTTCCTTCCTCATTTTCTACGTGCTAAATAGTAAAGCATTCATGCATATTGATCAGCTGGACCATAATTAGCCTCCTCTGTGTGCATGTTTGCTTGCCTCCCTGGCTGTAATGAGCAGGCAGTGCTATCAGTTTGTAATGTGTGTCAGAGGGATTGGACGCCGTTTGGACAAACACTGATAAGATTTGAATCGGGACAGCTCCGACTGCGACTGACTACAGATGATATGCCAGCAGGCTGCTGCTGCTGTTTGTATGTTGACTCAGAGCACATCATCCAGACGTTTCCCTTGGCTGAAACTGTTGCTACTGCGTGAGGCTGAATCAGACTGTAGGTCTAGCAGGAAATGCAGATCTTAGAAATGTCCACATTTAGTTATAAGTGCTTCCCTGGTCGGTAGAGCCAGTTTAGAGCTGTAGAAATTTGGTTTGTGGTGTATAATAAATACCGAACCCAAATGTCACATTTTTAGTTGCCGTATCTCTAAATGACTCACGAGAATAGAAACGAGTGCAGCTTTGATTCTTTTGACAACCAAGTTGTTCATCAGATGAAACCACAACATGTCCAGCTCCGTGAGTCAGGCGATGTCAAATGTGCTTCCTCCCACTTGCAGCCGATATTACATTTTCTGAATATAGCTTTTTATTTTTGTTGAAATGTCAAGCGAAGCCAGATTCAAGCGTTCAGCCTCTGTGGAAATCATAAAAAAAGTTTGATCTTAATAAAGATCAAACCACCTACTTAGAAAAATTCAATGAAGGTCTTCAACAGAACCTTTAAAGGCTGGAGCTAAAGAAGCTGTTTTTAACCTTAAACTAATTAATAATGCATAATGAGTCAGCTGCTGAGAACTGGTCTCGGGAACATCTGATGACATTGTGTACTGCTGGTAACGATGATGACTCTGGCAGATTTAAGCTTCATGACATGGTGTTGTGTCAGAAAATGGGTACACTGGTTGTAATGGAATAGAAATGTTCAGCAGCAATACTCAGGCCGGCTGTGGGTTTTAGTTGGTGCTCTGTTGGCACTAAGAGGCCCAAAGTGTGCCCTTACATCATTACGCAACCAGCATCAGGCTAAAGTGGTAGGAAGAATCTATGCTTTAAGGTGCAACCTGTGATGCATTCAGAGATGCTCTTCTGCATTCCTCGGTTATAACAAGTGGTTATTTGCGTTACCGTTGCTTTCTTATCAGCAAAGCAGTCTGCCAACTCCCTGCTGACCTCTGACATCAATTTTTAACCCAGAGAGCTGCTGCTCACTGGATAGTTTCTATTTTTCACTTTTTTCAGGCCACTCTCATAGTGGTCTGAACTGTAGTGAGGTCTGTGTGGAAAAATGACATAAATCACATATCTTCCTTATTCTGATGCTCGATTTGAACTTCAGCAGGTCGTCTTCACCATGTCTACATGTCTAAATGCACTGAGTTTGTGCTCTTAGATGTGTTAGCGAGCCATGAGAGTGTAGTTACAGAGGGTTTAACGGATTTCTGTAGTCTGTTTCTTCTGGCTACAAGACAGTTTTCTCCCAGGTGATTAAGAAAATGTCCTAAAAATGAGTTGATCTTTGTAAAAAACAAAAAGAACAAAACAAAAAAACAAACAAACCCCAAAACACTGACTCTCCTGTGCACATTAAAAAAATCAAATGTATTCATTCTCTAACAAAGTACATTGTGCAAAAACATGTTTCCTTCCTGCTTATTGCTGCTGTATTGTTTGTTTATTGTAATGTTACTTGAGCACTGGTCTGCTGCACCACTGTGGGCGAGGATGGAGGAAGCTTCAGCCTCAGTGGAGTCTGACTGCTGCTGTGACCAGAATGCTAATCATCTGTGCAGGCTAAGGGCGGTATAGGCTACACACACACACACACACACACACACACACACACACACACACACACACACACAACACACACACAACACACACACACACCACCTGCACAAACTCACTGCTCTGTCTGTTGGTTTGGGTCCAGCCCATCTCCACCTTAAAGCAATCATCTCTCCTAATTGAGTGACGTCTTAGACACCCAACGTCATGCTTCACCCCCTTCCCCGCTTTTCCCCGAAAGGCCCGCCTTCTCCAGCTGCTAATTGGCTGTCACAGACCTGTCAGAGGGTCACGGATAAGAAGTAGAGCAGGATGCAGAGCTTTATGACTCACTCTGCAGGCTGGTTGATCTGAGTGATGGTTTCATAGGAAAGAACTGTCTGTATGTTAGCATGATCCCTTTTGTTTTATAACCAAATATTTCTGTTATACTTGAGTAAATTCAACTGAAACATTAGAAGAGTAGATGGTATTTGTTGTGGGGGTTAATGATATTAGTCGGTCATGTTCGTGCATTATATCAGGCTGGTTTCCACGCAGTGATAGTCTGAGTCACACCAGATGACTCCAATGGTGTAGCCTAAATTAACTGTGCTTTAAGGGTGTGTTTGCAGAGGTTCCACCTCTGTAGGCCTTTTTGATGTGTTTTGATACATGTGTTTATTTAATGTCACTGTATTCTATTTTCACTGTATACAGTTTTATTGTCCGCAGTGCGAACGAGTAGCTACTTTTGGTAGCGGTGTGGACGCGTCTTTCTTATGTTACCTTATTTTTCTACCAGTTCTTCTACTCTAATTTAGTTATACCTGCCTTTTTAAGGCTTGTTTGATTTAAAAGGCCTGGATTTTAATTGTATTCAGTATTTTTTTTTAAGTATTAAAAACTAACAAATGGGTAATAGATGCTAACATTAGCATAAGTTTTCTAGTAATGTTTTTTTTGGTTATTTTTAAAGCCAAATAATGTCTTTGATTGCCTTAGACTGCAGTTTTGTTATTGCCACTAACCTAGGGTATCAGTATTGTTAATGAACATTTTTAAAAATATCTAAAAACTTTATGAAACAAGCGCTGCTTAAGCTAGCTAGCACTATCGACAACTGTGCTATAAAAGAAATGCTAATTCAGTCCTTTTATAAAGTCTTTCAGTAATCATTTACATTAGCTGGTATTTTCAGACATAACATTTTATAAATTAAGTATTTTGAGAGTACATTAAACAAAACTTGGCTATCTTTAAACTGTTTTCTTTTCCTAGCATATTTTACCTCAACACAGTAAATAACTGCACTGAGTGTCTTTGACCACAGCCAAGATGAAATTGAGTGCAAATCCTCATTTCAACCTGCATCTAGTTATGATTTAATGATTGTAGACTTTAACTATTCTGAGGTGTGTGATGTGTGGAAAAAGTGAACCACCAAAATAAACGAGGGTATAATAGGACGCTCTTGTGGCATAAATAGGGCGCAGACTTGCGAACCAACACTTTCTGACTCAGACTTTCTGCAGCGTTTCCAAGTAGAATAATTTCCGGCTAATGAAGGTTACCTTGCATTGTTATTTTTGATGAGTCACACACCCCACACACACATGCACGAGCA